GAAAAATCTCGTGTATCCTCTTGTTCTTCTTAGCATTTGAAACTGTCGGGTTTTCCCCAAAATTTCGTCAATAATGATCCCAATTATGCTTTTTAGTGTACGTGATCTCTTAATTGATGATATGAAGCTTTCTCACCTTGCTTCTGCATCGCCACGCCTTCGTATCGCAGAAATAGTATTCTGAATCACAATCGGGTTTTGCAGGAGTGCAATGTCGAACAGGTTCGTATTCGTACCTGAAATATAGTTAAATGCATGGAAAAGTTATCTCTCAAAAAACTAATTGACTATTCTAAAAGAAACATTATAGAATGTAAATCTGTGGATCCAGGGGACGGTAAATTACATGAGTGCGCTGTGTATCAGGTATCCTGTGTATCAGGCTATTTATAGGAATGTCCTCCATTACACGAATTCTGATTTAGAGATTTTGACTGACCACTCATCAGTGTATTGATTGCTCAGCCCATCTCGGTTCTGAAGGCGGAACGGTTTCATCTGTTCGTCATAACCTTGCAAGGAGTTGCACGTATCCTAAAATAAGATAGAAAACTTAAGCTGAAACACTTTTTAAGTTTAATTCCGTGTACCGTTGCCCACTGCGTCTCTCGCTCTTCTCTGGTCTGTTTTTGCTTCCGAAACTGTTCCCAGAGATAATCTACAAAGGCATGGTGCAGGTAGAATGCGGGATCATTTGGACTCACTCTTAAAAATTTCCCTCCATCAATTTGTTTGATTAGACAAGGAGATGCTCTTACCTTATCACAAACATAAATCCTCCGACCCAAACGTGACCGAGACCGTGCATGCTCTCGAAAGTCTTGTCATGACAAAAGGTTAGTTGACTAAAAAAGGCTACTCCGCTTTTTGAGAATGTGACTCAAAAAGAGGTCAAGTTTTCACTGAATCAAGTTGAGATGCAGGTCGTACACCTTTACTACCTGTAGTGTTTCTGTTTCAGCACCCACTCAACATCCTTAGGTCCCATCAACCGGTCTTGTTCTCTTCCACCAGTAGATCTATGA